ACTTTGCAATTGTGGCATTTTGAAATGAATATTTCTGTGAGAGTTGAAAATTTTGATGTTGATCCAATCATCTTACGCGATATGCTTGAACTTTTATGAAGTAAAAATTCTCATTATCATGAAATTATTTAGTCATTTCGAGTTTCATTATGATCATTGTAATTTGATGTTGAATGAATAATCTGAAACGTTTCATCATGCAATGATGACTCATCTCTTCGATTTTCATGTGAACTTCTATTCCAATTTCATCAAATACAAGCAAACATAGCGATTCTCATATGAATGTAAAAAATCAAGCAAACAATCTTTTTCCTATTGAATGAATTTGTATTTTCTTCTAGTGGTCATAACCAAGAAATACGAAAGTGACTATTTTTATTGCGTCGAACTATCGTTAATCACCATTCTTCATGGAAAAATGCCTGAGTAAAATGCTGCTATTATTCATACATTTGATATTAGTCTTAGTAATGTAATAAAATCTTCAACGATGTCTCATCGTACGAAGTGGTGAACTGATTCCTGTGATTGTCTAGTTCAATAAAGTGAGTGATGGGTACAAGAAATTCAATCATCTTTCAATATCGTTCGTGAGTTTAGACATGAGTCATTTTCTCAATCACAATCAATCCTTCTCCAGATGCTGAGTGACAACGGAAAACACATCTGACTGACAATCGAATAAAACTAATCGTTCATCACGTCACAATGTGACCAACATTCGATTTAGTGCTAAAGAGGCGTTTTCTCCTTTTTTTGATAAATATCTGACATAATATTTCTGGATCATTGCCTTTCACATCAGCAAAAGAACACTCGAGAGTACACGCTCTTTTCTCTTCTTCATAAATACCAATGTTTAAAAACGGCACGTTTCTCTTTCATCGGTGATATTAATACTTTGACATGATAAAGTTCACTATTTTCAATTTTTTTTCGACCACTCCGGAGTCATCGATCACTGCACATCGAGAATTCCACCTGTTCGATGAGATGAAGTTCAAATTATTCTCGACTTTTGCGATTTCAAAAGCAAATGTGCGAAATCGAGGATTATTCAAAGATAAGCACAAAATGTTTTAACTGGATGGCAAACTAAAACATTTAGACAATGATAGAATATGCAAATCAGAATTCTCTTAAGAAACTTGTCTGAAAATGATTTTATTCTGTTGGATTTGTGGGGATCTAACTCTCAACATAAGATAATCTAATTCAATATAATTCCATTGTTCGAACACATATTCAAGAGTATGATGAAAACGCTAAAGCAATATCAATTTTCATAAATACCATCAACTTCGATCAATGTCGAATCTTCCCATGTGGTGAAAATCGCTTAAAAATCAGCGATTTATCGCGATTTATCATGCCGATTAATTGTGAGATTATATCGCGAT